TTATTATTATTATTATTATTATTGTTGTTGTTGTTGTTGTTGTTGTTGTTGTTGTTGTTATGATCGTTTACTGCAGAGGGGTTTAATCATAGCCATACCTGCAGAAAGGTCTGTCCAACTGAAGAGTTTATAAATCAAATATTTACTTGCTGAATTGTCTGACAGTCAAACATTTACCTACAGAATGGTGTCTTATACTTATACATTTACATACAGAATTGTCTAACAATCGAACATTTACCTGCACAATTGGAAATGACTTCCGAAACGAACGACCACCCCAACAAACACAATAAAGAAGAGAGCTAACCCTAACTGTAACCCTGACCCTATTCCCACCCTTAACCCCTATCCCTTACCCTAACCCAAACCCTATTGCCCTAATCATAGCCTCAAACCTAACCCTACAACACTATATTCTATACTCTATTTCATTTTCATAGCGGTCGGTCGTTACGGAATTCCTCCCCAGAATTGCTCTTCAAGCAAACATTTACCTGCACAATTGTGTCTTCTAGCCAAACATTTACCTGCACATTTGCTCTTTAACCAAACATTTACCTTCCAGAATGGTGTCTTATTGTCAAACATTTAGCCTACCTGCAGAATTGCTCTACAACCAAACATTTACCTGCACAATGGTGTCTTATTGTCAAACATTTACCTGCAGAATGGTGTCTTATTGTCAAAAATTTACCTGCAGAATCGCTCTACAACCAAACATTTACCTGCAGAATGGTGTCTTATGGTCAAACATTTATCTGTAGAATCCCTCTACAACCAAACATTTACCTGCAGAAGTGTCCACAAAAACTCCAAGAGAATTCCCAACATGTTGCCTGCTTCCCGGTCTTGTGTCGTGTTGTGACAAGTGAACACAGCAGCAGCAACTACACAGTGCGTGTCACAAGCGACTAAGCATGGGCGAAGTCAAGTCGAGATTCGGAATTCGGCGAATTCGTGGGGTCTGAGTCGGAGATCGAACATTGGGCAGGAGGACGAGTCCGAACACGAATTCCCGAACTAGGGCAGCCAAGGGGAAAATAGATCACGAGGAGCGAAAACATATTTAATTTGTTAAAAACTGTGAATAA